CCCTAAAAAGGGCAATTTTGCTTGAATTACAAGACTCCTAACACCGCTTATGATATTGTATGACCTGTCAAGTCTGTTAAGGATATTCGTTGTATCTTCTAGCTACATAATCTCTCTCTCGCTCCCGCCCTTTTAGGCAATGAACAGATCTCTCCCCAACGTTATTTTGGGAGGTTTTGGCACATCGTCCACCGGCACTGGCAAACCCATGGAGATTACTGGTACCCACACAGAGACCAATGTCGAGCAGACTGTAGAGATGATGACCAATGCCAAGAATATCATTATTGTCCCTGGTAAGGAGCTCATGAACTGTTCTGGCTCTAGAGTAAGCACCTGGGCATAGACTGTTCCCCTTTCCCAAAATATTAACTATCAAAGAGTTTAATAATTACAGTAATTTTTGTAATGACCCCCCCCCCCACCTCCCCATACTTTGAAGATCTGATACTAGTAACTCATTATTTGTAATTTTCCTTTTGCATTTTAATTTGCAGTTGGCATGTAACGTAAATTGGTATAGAAAACGTAAAAATATTAACCAAAAATTGACTCCTAGGTTACGGCCTGTGCGTTGCCAAGGCTCAGTACCCCATTGCCGAGATGGTTGACATCCTCAAGAAGAAGGGCAAGAACGTGCGCTTCGGTATCCATCCCGTGGCTGGGCGTATGCCTGGGCAACTGAACGTACTCTTGGCTGAAGCTGGTGTCCCCTATGATGTTGTGCTGGAGATGGAAGAAATCAACGACGACTTCCCTGAGACTGACCTGGTGTTGGTCATCGGTGCCAACGACACAGTCAACTCCGCCGCTGAAGACGATCCCAACTCCATCATCGCTGGCATGCCCGTTCTCCGCGTCTGGCTCTCACAACAGGTGGGTCTCTTTTCTTTCAGAGTTTGAGAATGTCTGGTGTTCACAATTTTATTTTGTATACGTTAAGATATTTTAAAAAGATACCATGCTTCTCAAACAAAAAAAACTGCATTTTTCTTGTTTACCGATTTCCTCAGGTCATCGTTATGAAGAGATCCCTCGGCGTCGGCTACGCTGCCGTCGACAACCCCATTTTCTTCAAGGAGAACACTAACATGTTGCTTGGAGATGCTAAGAAGACCTGCGATGCCCTCTTGACCAAGCTCAAGGAACACTATGATTAGATTTCAGTTTGAAGCCGAGCAGCTTTATCATGTGCCATATTGTCACCGAGCTGTTTGATGGTTGTTTCCATGTGAAGAACCCCCAAAAAATCACAACAGTGCTTTATATTGATTTGGTTATCTTTTGCAAGGGATACTGTATATGATTTTTGATCAGTAACTGTAATGTATGGAAACCAGCAAAATTATTTTTGTTTTAAATTTGTACATAAGTTTTAAGCCGTTTTAAGTGTTACTTCCCCTAAATCCCTCCCCAGTGAAAAAATGGACAATAGGGGTATTAGCAGGATCTTAGTTCTTGTATTGTATAAAGTTAATGTAAAGTAATGTATTTTCTCATGCAGATGTTTTCCACAAAAGCATCATCTTGCTTGGCAAACTGCGAACTTGTAGTGATTGTTGAAGTACGTAGGGTGGCGATCAATGGCAAAAATGGTCCGTGTGTTTGTCACGGGGTCAACGTGTGTGTGTTCGGGTTATGAGAGAATTTTATTTTAGTCGGTAAATAAATAATAATAAAATTTATAAATTGAGTTATTCTCCCTGTGTGTATTTGCCGTAGATATGCAATCCTTTCAGTGGTGGCGATCTGTGGAATGTAATTTACCAAAAATAAAGTATTCTAGGAAAGTCATTGCAAAAACACTAGAAATTAATAATGCTGTAGCTTGGGATTCAGATGCAGTTATGACAAGGCGTAACTGCAGAAGGAAACTTTACCACTTGTTTTGGAGGCATTGCTGGAAGTGTTGACAGTAGATGGGATCACGAAAAATCGATCCTATTTGGTTGGGCTAAACAGAGTATTTAAAAAGTTTGGAAAAGGGAACAGTGTTAAGAATGGCAGTGCTGCTTAGAGGGGAGGGGGGGGGGGATAAACCTGCAGAGAAAAAATACGGGAGTGGGTAGTGGAAAGAGTCCTCCCAGGAAGGTCCCCTTGAGGTAGGGGCGTCTTTTCAACCTTTTCTTTGAGGGGGAGCAATGCTTGCGAGCGAAGTGAGTACGAAAAATAATAAATAAAGAAGCCCCTATCTTCAGGGATAAGGGACAGGTAACTAAACGTGAATTCCCTGCCCATGGTTCATCAAGGCCGTCCATGACTAGCACAAAGTCAGCCTTTCATCCTTTCAACACGGCTCTCACACCGTAGAAAGTAGAAAGGGTTGGAGAAGCGAAGGCGTGGCCGTGGTCGAGCGATATCACCAGCTAAAGCCGTCTGCCTGGAACTTTGACCGTTTCCTGCCGGTTATGGATAGACAATGCTGCCAGACACAAGCACCCTCGTGTATTGACGGGACAGGCTGTGTCCGGCAAATGGGCACTGTTCGATTGTGTGGACGGGGGCAAAAAATGTGAGGACCTTAGGCAAGGTGGCAGTCAGAGCATTGTATGCGTATTTGCTTATTAGCATCCTCTAGAATAGAAAGAGAATACAGGGTAATTTTACTCTTACGACCGTATGCTTAAATAGTATTTATTGAAAATTTTGTCGCATTAACATCGAAGGTCATTGGCGGCATATTCAAAATATAGCGATAGGGTGGGGCTTAGAGGCGAAGCCCTGGGTAAGGAAGGTTTTTGCTTCATAATGCGATGTTTGTGGATTCCCAGAATGGTTAATGGTCAAAACAAATAAATGTGCCAGACACCAAAGGTCATACAGCAGTATGATTTAGTATTATGGCGAAAAGGTAAAAAATGAGTTAGGTCAGGATAAAATGTGTTAGATGTCAGGTTGCAGAGCGCTGTAGGTTAGTATGGTAGTGAAAAGGATAAAGGGAAGAGCAAACGGCCGTGCAGGACTGACACAAAGTCAGCCTTTCATCCTTTCAGCACGCCTCTCACCTTTGGAAGTGGGCAGAAGGGGATGGAGAAAAGGAAAAAGACCATGCAAAATTGGTTGAGGCCCTAGGTAGGAGTGATCCCCTATAGTGGGCCTCAATTTCAGTCTCCTTAGCCCCTCCCCCACCCCCACACACAACGACAACGAGCAATGGGTTGGGGGACCGTACGCTTATTATCAATATAGACTTCATACCAGGATACACAAAAGTAAAACCCCGTAAAAGAAGAAAGACGACGACTTCATACCACTAGGGTCTACTCAAGTAATCACAAACGACTTTCTTACAAAATGGCATCTAAATTGGTAACTGAACAAAAAAAAAATGTTTAGGGCAATGTTGCTGAAAATAATAATGCTCCTGGAATCCAACTTCAAATGCAAATTAATTCGGAAGGCTTGGGAAGGAGTTGGATATTATAACAATGAAAAACTTTCACATGTGGAAGAAAGGTGAGTGAAGGGAGTCTTCGTGTCAGAACGAGTGTGTATATAAAGAGAAGTGGGGAGAAAGCGGTCCACACAAGAGTAGTTGAGGACTGTTGAGGGACCTTTATCACCAGCGACCACACTCTTCCAAACCACAGACGGCGTCAGACCAGTGACAGGTATAGATGTTTTTTAACACAGACCTCGTGTGGAGGCCCTTTGCGACTGGCACTGAAGCTTCATGTGTGAAGTTATGAGGACCTCACATCGTGATAGGCAAAACTGCTCTCTTCAAAAGGGGCAGTGCTGCAGAGGACATCAATCAGCAGCAATTGGAGGAATCCAAACAACCCAAACACTCGCAACATGATGGTCGTTTTATGAGGGGGATGTATAAATGCTTTCTTGCGAATAGGACTTGGGACAAGCCTAATCCATTGATGACGGTACTTTCCCTGAGAAGGCGTCGCCTACGGGTTCTCTCTCGCCACAGGAGTCGCCGTCAGATGAATCATCAGGGGTAGGGGAGGGAAAGTGAGAGGAGTCTTGCCAGTTGATACAATGAACCGTCGCCATGTTGTCCGAGAGGATAAAAGTATACTTTCTCTAAGGGAAGGTAATAGCATCGTCGCAGACAGTACGAAAGTCATGCAATCTAAGGCGACATTCACAAATACTGCCATGCTGATTCGCACTGCGAAAGATTCAACGTGAGTATTGGTAATGAAAGCAGGTTTTTACCTCATATGGGCCTCTTCCTACTTTGGCATATGCGCTCTTGATGAAACAAAGTAAACCAGAATCCTAATTTTGGCAGATTTGTTTAACTTACTTATTGTACAGTCTTCTGAATCTGCTATTTTATCCTAATCTAGATAAGGGCAAGTATGCTAATTTCGCATAAACTTAATCTAATAAAAGTTAAAGTTCATAATACAAAACACAAAAAATCGTTCATGTCGTTAACACGCACAAACCAAAATTTCTTTTGCATTTGGTTAGATTTATTCACTTGTAAACTTGATCTTACTGGAGGATTGTTATGAATAAAATGCCATTCAATTATATATTTTTACTGGAATCCCAAGAACTGGATGTCCAGACATACAGATTCTCTTAGGTTTATTAAATATGAAAAACAAAAAATTTGAAGCTGATGTCTGTCGTTACTTCTAATCAGAACAGCAAACCAGATTAAAATCTTACATAAAAAGAAAGAATTTGAAGTAAACGTAATTTGAATTAAAAAAAAACGTCTTAATCTCTTGTATGTTTTTTTAACCAATCAACCTGTTATATGATTCACACTACTTGGTACGCTGTACTCTTAACCAGATGAACAAGAAAAGTGTCCGGAAATTCAGTCTACACGAAAATTGTAAAGCATATAAACAGATCCCCATATTCTAATTCAAAACAAATGCAACAAAAAGGACACTTTTCCATTTTATGGCTGGGACTCTTACACCTCACAGTTCTTTCTTTAAACATTATTAAATCACTCTTGAGTCACTACCAATCAACATACCATACATATTACCTAGAAAAAAATAACGAACAAACCTCTGTCACGGTCTTTCCTGTGTGATACATAACACATTTTCTTCTGAGAACAGTAACTGCTTATCGTGAAATATTTACAATAGGGAGGAATGCCTGAATTTTCCTTATGTACAACTCCATATTGCACATCTATTTTGCAAAACATTTTACTCATACAGTCTACATGCATGCCGTTTCTAAGGTTTGGTAATACAAAAATATACAACACACATCCTATACAAGTATGTGAATAATGGCTTCATTCAGTAACTATGGTACGGATGAACTAATTTGAAATTCTACAATGCACAGCATTAATTCAGATGCAGTACGGAAATATAGAGTCCACTGACAAATAAACACTGCTTTTAACAACTGTACAATAAACGATTTTCAGAATGCCAAACTTTTATACAAACTTGTTACAAGAGCAAAATATACGAATTTGGAAAACCAGTGGTATCAGAAGTCCCAACAATGTTCATAAAAGTTCTTCAGCAGGAAAACCTGATGCAGGCAATTAAAATATGAGCATGCCTCCTTGCTATTACCTTTTCTGCCATATTTGGTAAAACTGCCACACTGGAGAATGGAAGAACTGCGATTTAAAAAAGTATAAACTAAAAGTGGCACCTATTCTTAATGTACCTGGTGTAATACATTAGTATTTGGTTAAAGATTTTTTGAGACAATGTAATTAATCTACTACATTTTATGAAATGACTTAAAATCTTCTAAGATTTTTACAGCAGCATGTCACACATCCTGTCAACATTTGGGCGGATATTCACAAGAACAAAAATTCATTCTCTTAAAATGGACGATTATGAAAATCTAAACTAACGGACGGATTACTGTATTAGGAATTTATCTTTTCACAATTCCTACAAATTATGAATAAGTACATAAGACTCTACTACTTACAAAACATTGATTATTCTTAATCAAGATCAAATTCACATGATGTACTACGATTTTTTTGTTTCGAAACAGATTCTTAAAGAATTAAAACACTAACTCAACGTTTTTCTTGAGGAAATCTCACTCTTGAACCAAGTTCTGAAGCCGCTGAGAGCTTGAATTAACCGATTTTCTAACATTATCTCCATCAGTGGAAAAGAAAATCGGAAAATCCACAAATTCCGATTCTCCACACAACAGAAAGGTCCGAAGAAATCACACACGCATTCGTTGTGGCGACGATTCAAAATCCATACACTGTACTCTCACCAAACACCCCCACTGCCACTACCTCCTGGCCATCTCGAGCCCGCGAACGACCGGCTTTCCGAGAACACCTGATACGCGTAAGTCACAAGGGCCACTGAGATCAAGAACCCGACGTTGGGGAGGTTCAGCGACGGCGCCGAACTGTAGATAGGGCAGTAAGGACACTGGTACGAGCCACACACCTCGCATACGTCCAGGGTGTTTACGGTCGAATTCAGCATCACCATCTGGAAGCGCTCTGTGGGAAAGAGGGGAGCGGGACGACTGGTAAATGGGACAAAAAGAAGGGAAAACAGAGAGAAGAAAGAAGAATGCATTTGAGAAAGAAGAGAGAAGAAAGAAAAATGTAGTAGAGAAAGAAGGGAAACCGAGGGAAGAAAGAAAAATGCAGGAGAAAGAAGGGGCAACAGATAGAAGAAAGAAGAATGCAGGAGAGAAAGAAGAGAAAACAGATTGAAGAAAGAAGAATCAAGTAGAGAAAGAAGGGAAACAGATAAAAGAAAGAAGAATGCAGGATAGAAAGAAGAAAGAAGAATCAAGTACAGAAAGAAGGGAAACATAGAAAAAAGAAGAATGCAGTAGAGGAGACAAGAAATTTCTGTTAAACAAAGGCCTACTCTAAGCCAATCAATCGCTATATCACTACATATTTTTCAATAACAAAGAAATTATAATTTTCATATCAATAAGTTTGTTCTTACCTGGTTGATACTGCTCATAGATAGTAGCCATACGGACCCTCGTCAAGTTAGCAACAGGATACCATCTCTTCATCACATATTCGAAGCACCAGGTCGTATTACCCGGTATCTGTGGTCGATTAAAAACATCCAGATAGTTCCAAAGATCAGCAAACATGCAATCAAAACATTCCTTTGAAACCCATCCCATCCCCCTAATACTGTTCTCATAAAGATCCGAAAAATAATATGCAATAACCAACATATTAACGGCCATTATAGACACTAATGGAAAGTAATTAAGGTTCCAAATCCAAATGATTTCCAAATAAATATGAAAATTCGATGTCGACCTGTACTGAAAAAATCCTATTTATATATACCAAATTACTGGAACCTCCATACTGTTTTCCGTTTTTCCTTGCCCCTTTTCCTCGTAACAAAAACGGAATAAACTCATCCTCCCAATCATATCAAAGTAAACAAAAAGGCATGCACTACGAAAACTCACATAATCGAAGAACCACACGGTCTTCCTGGCAAACGTGTCTCCGTGACCCCCGATGACGTCCCTTAGCGAGGGGAAGTTCCCGCTCATCTGCGCACGATAGATGCTCCTTTCGAGGTCGAGCTGGTAGGCCACGTAGCCCGTCGGGACCTCGACCTCGATCACCGCGGCCGAGCTCTGGGGCGACTCCTCCAAGTTGGTCCATCTGGGCGGGGACAAGAGTAGGAGGAAAAGGGAGAGAGAGGACGGTTAGGACATTTGCCAAGAATGTGATTCTGATGAAAATCGTTAGAAAAAATGCAAATTGAAAAGGGTAGTTGCAGAAGAGGCGTATGAGGATGAAGAGGAAGAGAACGGCGATAAATACGAAGAAACAAGAAGAAAGAGAATGAAGTAAAAGAAACGGCGAAAGGAGGAGGAGAAGATGAAGAAGGAAGTAGAAAAAATGAAGAAGCAAATAATAAATGTGCTCTCACCTGGCGCAAATTTCCACATTACAAATAGACTTGTTGCGGAACTTGGAATAGCGCTCGTTAATGACCATCTTGAAGGCGTCGACCGGAGGCTGCTTCTTGAGATCTGTCCAGTCGATGCCGTAGCTGACGTCCAGCTGAAGGATGGCCTGTCCTGCTCCGTGGGCCACGACGTTCACCAAACCCCACACGTTTTTGATCTGGGAAGAAAAGACGTGCCAAATGAGTGAATTTCTCAAGCTGGATGCGATGGTGGGGGGGGGGGGGGGGGCGAAAAGAATACACTTCTCATTCTGGAAGTGATGCGTGGATAGTAGGCACATTCCCCATGTTCTTGGTCTTGGAGGGAGGAAAGAAAGGGCAAAATGAATGAATATGATGGGTGGATAAAGTGGTCACACCCTATAAGTTTTCAATCTGGGGAGGGGGGGGGGGAGGGTTAAATTAAATTCCTCTTACGTTGAATGGGTCAATGAAGTAGCTTAGTTGCCAGGATTTATTGTAAAATCTAGTTTGTGAAATAATCTGGTAACGTAAGACATGCGAAGACTTATTTGCGAACATTGGATAGGAAGAAATCTCACGTCTGAAGATCTGGATACCGTAAAACGAATTAAAAACAACAAAAATATATATACACAAACTATCTCCAAATCTCCGACTCCCCAACACGAACACTCCCCCTCCACCATCACAACCTTAACTAAAACGCCAAACACAACCCAAAACTCAAACCCACGGGAATGATATGCATCTGGGACACGCTGCTGTTGGAGATGACCACGTTGTGCGGCGACCGCCCCTCCTCGCCCGTCGCCTCCACCGTCACTCGCATGTCCGTCAGGTCACGAAGACGGGCGCGGTAGGAGTACTCCGTCAGGGCCTCCAGAGCGACGAGGGTATCCTGCGGGAGGAGAATGGTGGCGGGTGGGTTTTGGCTGAAGTTTCCGTCGTATTTTTATCATCTATTTATTGTTAGTATTAACTAATTTCATTATTTTTTAAATCTTATCTTAATTATTGTTTGTATTCATTATCAATATAAATATAAAACGAACCCAACACGTCCATTAGATAAAAAACAAACAAACAAAGGAACGAAATCACACACAAGAGCAATCTCCTCCCCTCCAAAGACTCACCACCGTGGAGATGAACCCTCCGTCGTGCATCCTCATGGCATTGAGCCACTCGACGATCCTCTCCTGGATGATGTTGACGCCATCCCGGATGAGGTAGACCAGCAGGGCGTAGGACGAGGCCTCCACCGCGTGCGAGTCCCACTCCTCCTCGAACTTGGGCTGCAGGAGGTTCCTCTGGTTGTTCTCGTACACGCGCTTGTTGGTCTGCACGGGCGATCGGGACCAGTAGACCAGGCCGTCTGGGGGAGGAGGAGGAGGAGGGGTGGGGGTGATTAGGAACGAAAGAACGGGTGATGAAGGGAAGGTGGGGCTTATGAACGAAAAAAGGGGGAGTGAAAGGAGGTAGGAGGATTAGGAACGAAAGAAAGGGGGGTGAAAGGGAGGAGGAGGATTAGGAACGAAAGAAAGGGTGGTGGTTAGGGAGGAGGAAGGGGATTAGGAACGAAAAAAAGGTGAAGGAAGGATGGCGGGTTAGGGACGAAAAAAGGTGGTGAAGGGAGGAAGGGGGGCTAGGAACGAAAAAAAATGTGAAGGGAGGAAGGGGGGTTAGGAACGAAAAAAAGGGCGGCGAGGGAGGATGTGCGGCGGATGGAGATTAGTAACAAGAGAAAGGATGGCGAGGCGATGATAAATGGGGTCGAGGCGTTTGAGATGTGTGCCGAATAAAAGGAATGGAAAGATACTGGTAATGATAAAGAATATTTTTCATGCGTTCTACAATATCAGTGTATAGTATTTTTTCAGAATAAAATCCCAAGCCCATTACAACCAGAGAAAAAATCACCACACATGAATACTCATCTGCATAAAATAAATAAATAAATAAATCCAGTTTCCCGTAATACAGAGGTCGGCAATCTTTGGCACGAGTGCCAGACTTGGCACGGCATGTGATTCATAGGAGCAAAGAAAAAAGTTAAATAGCAAAATAATAAGAGAGAGAGAGAGAGAGAGAGAGAGAGAGAGAGTCTCATTATTATGGTCATACCCTCAGCCCCCATCCCAGCAGGCTTATAACGGTGTGTCCTGATATTATTATGGTGAATACATATCGAAAATTATAAAACATGTGTATTTTTTGTTACAAAGAATACTAAATGCTACACAAATATTACACTTATGTTATACATCTGTAGGAAAATACACTTGGGTATACAGTGCTGTAATAAAACTTGGCATGCAAGGGTATTAATAAGAAGGCATTAATTATAAACTGGCAAGCTATGTTAAAACAGTTGCCGACTCCTGCTATAACGTTTAAAAAATCCACAGTTCCGTATACGATTTTCAAAAATCTATTACAAAAGCAAAGAAAATGTAGAATCTGGAAGGGAAAAAAAGAAAAAAAAATATATCACTCACTCTCCTCCCTCTTGATGCGATCCAGCTGGTTGAAGGCGGCCTCCTTCTCCACGGAGTTGGAGACCGAGAGAGCGTAGGCCACGATGGCCACCTCGTACGGGTCCCGGATGTTCCTTAGCTCGCGCTCCAGGTACCTGAGGGACCAGAACGATTGGGTTGAGATAAAGAGATAATCAGATTGAGGGACGGGCAAGAGATTAGGGAATCCGAGGTAGAAATCTTGCGTCTACATGGTCTAATTTCTGCAACAGGTTCTTCTCAGCTGCCCGATCTTGGCAGTGTGCCAGCCGCGGACTATGGCCTTGGACCCCCTCTCCCGCCGACTCGGAGTACTACGGGTTTATTAGTTCCGAATTCGGATTCTCTGGTAAGTGTCGAGATCCAGGAGAGTCACTTTCTATAACCAGTGAATCCTTAGGTCACTAATTCTGCCGAATCATAAAGATTAGAGAAAGATGAGGAGAATTGAAGACGAGGTGACTGCAAGAATTCAACGACAACTATGGTCTATGGATTTTACTGGGAATCATTTAAACAATGTAAGATTGTTGGAAATGCAGCTTATAAATATGTTTGCAACATACAGAGGTTAACAGTTCAAATATTAACAAGACAATGTACAAAAATTGAAGCACATATCACAAAATGTTAACAAAGGATTCACAAAATTAACAAATAAGTTAAAAACTAACAAAGCATACAGCTTAACAAAAAGTACGAAAATACACCAGTAGAGAAAAGAGAGAATCGAAGAAAAAAAAAAACACATAAAATACAAAAAAGAGAAAGAAAACCATACCATCCAGAAAAGAAAAGAAAAAAGAAGAAAAAAAAAACAGATAAGATAAAAAAGAAAACAAAGAACGAAAAAAAATCCCACGGCACCTACCTAACCGCCTGAATCTTCGCATTATTGGCATCGGCGCGAACGTTGCCCTGGAGGGAGTTGATGGTGCGCTCCAAGGTGATGAGGCACTGCGCCGTCAGGGTGATGTTCCTCGCGCCGCGCCACCGGTACCCGTACGACTGTAGGGGGAGGAGAGGTTGGGGTCATTATGGGAGTGCTGGGGTCTTTATAGGGGTGTCGGGGTCTTTATAGGGGTGTCGGGGTCGTTCTAGGGGGTGTCGGGTCGTTCTAGGGGTGTCGGGTCGTTCTAGGGGTGTCGGGGTCGTTCTAGGGGTGTCGGGGTCGTTCTAGGGGTGTCGGGGTCGTTCTAGGGGTGTCGTCGTTCTAGGGGTGTCGGGGTCGTTCTAGGGGTGTCGGGTCGTTCTAGGGGTGTCGGGGTCGTTCTAGGGGTGTCGGGGTCGTTCTAGGGTGTCGGGGTCGTTCTAGGGTGTCGGGTCGTTCTAGGGGTGTCGGGGTCGTTCTAGGGGTGTCGGGGTCGTTGGGGTGCCGGGGTCGTTATAGGGGTGTCGGGGTCGTTATAGGGGTGTCGGGGTCGTTATAGGGGTGTTGGGGTCGTTATATGGTGTTGGGGTCATTACCTGGGGTTGGGGTCATTACCTGGGGTTGGGGTTATTACAGGGAGGTTGAGGTTATCATATGGGGGATGAGGTCATTATAAAGGGTTGGGGTCATTACATGGGGGATTGTGGTCATTACAAGCGGGTTGGAATCATTATAGGGAATTGTGGTCATTATAAGGGGTTTGTGGTCATTGCAGGGGTGGTTGGAGTCACTATAAGAGGGTTGGGGCCAATATAGGGGTTTTGAAGTTCATACAAGGGGATTGGGGTCATTACAGGGGTTTAGCGTCATTAAAAGGGGATTGAAGGAAGTGGTTCACAAGCCAGTGGAAGGATAAGAGTGTATGAAAGGTAACGGAATGAAATCACGTTAAAACATTGTGAACATGGCTAAATACTGAGATAAAATTAATGTTAACAACAATAAAAAAAAAATCATTTAAGTAAAGAGGGAAGAAAGAAAACTTGCGGTAGAGACATCAAAACAGAGCAAAGCTCTGCACAAAAAGGGGTAAAGAGAAGCAAGAAAACAAAAACAATTATTTGAACTCACATAAGCATCGGCCTTCTTGTCGAGAGGAACCGCTTGGTAAGCGGGGGTCTCCATGAAGGCGCCCGAAGGGGTCTGGTACTTGATGAGCCACTCGATCGCCTTCGAGATGATCCGCGGCTCGATGTAGATGATATTCTCCCAGTCCTGGAACTGCGCCATCTGGATTGTGCGGGTCGTCCACGCCGTCAGCCTAAGGGAGGGAGCGGTTTGTGGGTTATGGCTCCATTAAGGGAAGAGCAGTGTGCGTCCATGAAGCGATCATGGATTACAAGTTCATAGTAAATGCCTCTTTTGTCATATTATTAAACAGGCAGAGTACACTTAAAAATAAAAAAAGAGGATCATACCCCTTTCATGTTCATTTTCCCTTACCAAACACTAGGCTGTGATGTGTCCCACATCTTGAAGGAGCCCTCGCTGCTGAAGCGGTACATGATGGCCGCCAGCTCGACGTTGAGCTGGTCAAAGATGTCCTGCCTCTCGGAGATGTCGAGCTGGTTTGTTAGACGGAGGTAGTGCAGTGTCCACAGGTTGGCGCCGAAGTTGAAGGTCGAGGCCTCCGTTCCGCGGAGTTCCTTGCGTAGCATCTGCACGGAATCCACAGGCTCCTGTTAAAAGCAAGAGGGAAAAGGGGTTATGAGATCACGGGGAATGGGAACACAGAGACAGGTTTATACAAAATTAACGAAAAATAAGCATACCAAACTAAACCAGACAATCTGAAATGGGTAAAATTATAACCAGAAAAGAATTTATCTTAAATGAATGAGAACAAGAGATAGAAAAGGTTAGGGAAGAATGAAAAAGGGAAAAATAAAAAACCTAAACACTTCCAACTCCAAACCAACTCACGTCATTGGGGAAGGACGGACCAACTACGTCCCCACAGAGAGACACATGACCCCTGGGCGACCCAGCCACAAAGCGACGTCGGATCTGGAGCGGAATCACGTACGACTCCTCCACGATGATGTCCATGTACTCATAGACCAGCGCCCGGTTCTTCAGGTCGAGCAAGATCGAGGTGTGGCGGTCAATGGTGGCACCTTCGGGCTGGTGGGAGAGACATTTAGTCATTGAATAAATAATTACATTAATTTGTAGGTACAATATTTTTCAGTTGAAGCCATACATAATCTGAACCAATTTCATACCCATAACAAATAACAAATACAAATATGAAGTAGCAATAAAAAACCTATCAGAGCATTTATATCAAGCACCACCACCTTTCCCCAACTACTGAAAAGACACCAACGTCCCACAGACCTCAACGATGAGCGTAACAGTCTCCTCATCTCGGCCGATCTGCGAGATGGCCGACACAGTGAGCTCAATCTCGCCCTGGTCAATGGTCGCCACAACGGGGAAGATCACCTCCATCGCAGATTCAGGAGGCACCTGAAAGACGGGTAGAAGGGGATGGTTAGGTATTGTGGAAGTGATCAGGAAAGTAAGGAAGCAGAGGCTGAGAACAAGTGGGAGAGAAGGGAGTGTGGGATGTAGATTTGGGATTCTCCACGACTGTTGACTATGGAGGGAGCGTATATAATGTACAGCAGCAGAAGGAAATACAGTGCTGACAGGGTATCATAAGAGTGATCCCGGGAATAGTAAAATACAATAAATTTAACATTACTTTCTTTTATCTAAAAAAATAAGAATTTAACATTTCTAACATTTGTGAACAAATATATTCATCTCAAGTAATCCTGAGCAATTTATTTATGCTTTATTTACTTTATTTTATCATTTTCTTTAACTCTTAATTATCTATGCATTTTATTTGTAAAAGTGATGGTGGTAGCACCTATATTGATACTTGTAATTAAACAGAAATACCAAGATTTTGATAAAGAGAGAGGATGGGAAAGAGAGGACATAAAAGGAGGAAAGAGAGAGAAAATGAAAGATGAAAAAAGAGCTAAGATAGAGGAGACCCGAAAGCAAAGAAAAAGAGGGGAGGAAATGAAGTGGATATTAGTGAACAGAGAACAGATAGGGAGGAAAGCAAAAGAAGAGGGAAAGGCAAGAGGGGAGAGAGGAAGAAGAGAGGAGAGGAGAGGAGGAGGAGAGGAGAGGAGGAGGAGGAGAGGAGGAGGAGGAGGAGGAGATGATGATGATGAAGACAATCAAACACCTTGGAAAAGGTGAGAAATCATTATCCTCACAGCCTTTAACTAAGACCCATTGCCTCTACCCCCACCTGCCTCAAGAAACTCTCCCAACCCTAGGTTAGTCCTCACCGATACGAGATGCTGGTGGTCGCCTGCCATGGTGCGCGGACGGTAGAAGTCGACAACACCAGTCTCTTCCACCATGATGAAGCGGTGGTCATCTGAACCATGAAGGACCAGCAGGATCAGAAGCTCCGTCTCAATGTTATTGAACACCATCACTCGAATGCCCACCTGCAGGGGAGACTCTTCGGTTAGGAAGGAAGTCACAAACAAAAATCTATCTCAAAAATTTAAATAAAAGATAAATCTACAGAGATAAATAATAATAACATAGTGTGAACCAGTGAAATTTCAATTACCTGTTCTCCTCTGCGGCAAGAGTCAGGCATTTCCAGGCTGACGTAGACGGGCGGAATGATTGAATACTGCAAAGGATAATACAGTTCACAGTGACAAAGGCAGATGAGGAATAAAATAAATTTATAATTTTTCACACAAAATTATGTTGCAGTTTTATGATGTATAATTACATTTGTTATATCTCTCCTTATATTTTGCTTAATAGAGTAAAATATACATGTATCTGACGTGAAGGCACTCCATGATGTAAAAGAGTTTGGTTTTCCATTAAATAGATGTAAGAAAGTAACAAGTTATTTAGATTTGCATCGATACTTACAGGAAGTGTTGAATCAAAATGATTTGTTCCACAATGCAAAACCTGTTACTGAACTTTTGGTATTATATCTTCAACAGATTTAGATGATTCTGATAAAGATGTAATATAAAAAACTTGTACAGATTTTGCATTGGGGAACAAATTCTCATTCAACACTTTCTATAGATATAGATGCAAATCTAAATTATATGTTACTTTCTTATATCTATACAATGAAAAACCAAATTTCACTTTACACTCTTTACACCAGGAAATGAAGACATTAACATATATATATATATATTTTACTTTCATATTCGAAATATAAAAGAGATATAAAATAAACTGAATTATATATCATGAACCTACAACAAAATTTTGCTATGTGATTAGGTACACCATTCATCATGATAAAACAATAGCATGAAAATATTACAAGAGAAATTCTAACACACAGACACACAAAACGTCTTAAAAATATCAGAAAATAATCCAAATAGAACAAGAAAAAGAATAAAACCAAAAATATAAATGTGACTAACCCACTGGGGTGCAGGAGCCAAGCCGAAGCCAAATTCCTTGCTGACGCTGAAGGCATTGAGCACGTAAGGGTCGTCCACCTTTGGCATCTCTACCAGGTTCTGCTCGTGACCCTTGTGACCTGCAGGTGGAGGAGGGGTGGGGTGCTATCATTTGAACGAAGTGAAGGAGGAGGAAGAGGAGGATGCAGGAAGATGGATGAGGATGAGGAATATGCTTAACATTTATAGAAGTGGTGCCAGTAATACACTGCTGTATTGCTGTACAACAAATATTCAAATAATCTTTTACCGAGAGAAAACGAGAAAGGGGAAGTGGTAACAAAACTACAAAAACAAGTAAACACTAAATACATAAAAATATAGGGGGGAAAAGAAGAAAGAATAAATCAGAGAAAAAAGAAAGATGAGCAAAAGACTAAAAGAAATTATAAATTCTCACCAATATTAATGTCAAGCCAAAGCCAGTCCCCATCTTCTGCATCAAAGAAATCAGAGAACTTTTGGTATCGGTGAATGCGGAAGTCCTCCTCCCTGTCCTCTAAAGGATCCAAACCTGAAATACATGAAAGATACATGAAAAAAAAAAAAAAACTATAAACAGATACTGGCTGATTTGAAAAATTCACTTACAAAACAGAGACAATTTAAACTCCCCAAACTCCACCGTCGTCATCTATACGTACAACTGATTTCATCATATCCATCTGTGCAGTCCTGGATGCCATCGCAGCGCTTGTATGAAGGATAGCACCCCCCAACTAGGCAGGGTGAGTATCCCTCCGACTTATTGCAGCGGTTTTCTGTGGAGAAATAGGTTATGTCTTGTATCATGATAAAAATCACTTTGATTAGATAAGGTTTTAATATCTATCATACTGTTTATATTTGATACCTGATGTCTATGATAAACAGATAGCTTGATAGTTGTTAACCATGATTTTAACCAAAGCCTAATGAAATGTTTGTCCTCAATACTATATGAGAAGAAAAATCTTTCAATACACATAATATTGCAAGTACTTAAATGAAGGGTAATTGATGCCCTGATTCTATTTAATATAATCCATCAATGAAACCTACCTACCTATCTGTAGTATTATCTACATGTCGCTTATCAACCAAAACCAAAAAGCTAGAAAATATACAAACACTTCCAGATTAAGAAGAAGAAGAAGAAGAAGAAGAAGAAGAAGAAGAAGAAGATAAAAATAATAAAAAAAAAAAAAAAAATAATAAAATAAAATAAATGAATAAAATAAAGTCAACCACAGAAAAAATACATAAGAAAGGTTCGTCTAACATAAAATGTGCACACACACAGAAGGATCCTCACCAGCATAGCTAGGAATAACTCCAACATTGGCATCAGAGAAAATGACGATTCCATTGAAGTCGAAAGTCCTGTTGGCATCTGGACCATAATTTCCTGAAGAATAATACTCCACCTCCTCCGGCTCGAAGCCCTCGCGCGGCGACGCCAAGCCATTTTGTGGATTGAACTTAAACAGAAAGAATAAAGGTAAAAAATCATCTTTCTCTTCTATTGAGGAGAGAGAGAGGCTGGGAGGACGACACAAGACATAGAGAGAGAGCGGCGAGAGTCGTCGGGAGAGAGTGAGAGAAGAGAGATGATGGTACGGCGAGTCGACGAGGGAGAGACCGAGAGCCACAAATCGACTCCTGAGGGAATGAGAAGAGAGGAGAGTAGGACCGGGACGGTAGACGTGAGGCGACGGTCGGAGAGGGAGAAGGGAGAGAGCGACGAGGGACGAGGGAGTCGTGGTCGAGAGATCCCTCCTTCACGTTAGATGACGAGGGAGAGGTCGAGAGAGGTCGGGAAGAGATGAGAGCAGCGAGGAGAGAAGAGAGAGAAGATGCGATCGAAGGCGCCACACCCGCCTGATTGACGATGAGCAGAGAGAGCGAAGAGAGAGAGAGGAGATGATGAGAAGAGAGATGAGGAAACAACTGAAGAGTAGGGAAGATGGGACCGGACGACGAGGAAGAAGACAGAGAGAACCGGTGGGACGAGAGAGAGATGACGGATGAGAAGAGAGAGGGAGGAAAGGAGAAGAGTGGGAGAGAGAGATGAGGGAAGAAATGATGCAGAGAGGAGAGCTAGGGGACGAGAGAGAGAGAAGGGAGGAGGAGACGCACCGAGTATGCAGAGCACGACGGACGAGAGAGAGAAGACCGAGAGGAGCTGATGAGAGAGGAGAGGAGAGAGACGAGAGAGCCGGCAACTCACTGGGCGCCCCAGTCCACAGTCGCGCACCCGTCTGGAACGACCACACCGCGTTGTCCACAGATGAGAAAGAGAGAGAGAGGAGAAGGAGACTGGACTGGAGCACACGATGAGAGGAAGAGAGTGGTCGAGAGAGACGTGACGAGAGAGAGATCTAGCGAGAGGCGAAAGGGAGACCGAAGAGAGGATGATAGAGAGGGGGAGGAGACGAGAGAGAGAAGACAGGGAGTGGCGATCGACAGGATGAGACGAGCGCCGGAGAGAATCTTGAGACAACCCGACCATACACACAACTACCACTCCTCTGCACGGACGCACCATCGCCATAACGATGTCTCCGTTCGAGCCTAAATACATGTCCCATCCCTAATTATATATACCCGGTAACCTGCGCCCTAATCCGATGTTCACCGTGCGCCATCCTGAAGCGCCCGTGGGGCCTTGCACGCCACTTTCCCTCCATTCAACCTCCCCTCCTGGCCCCGGGAGGCCCTTTGCACGCCACTCCCCTCCATTCACCTCCCCATCCTGAGCCCCGACGGCAGGTCCTCTTTGCGACGCCCGAGACTCCCCTCCAGATACACACGCTACCGCTGGCTTGACCCCCCGGGAGGACCCATATGCACGGGGCCACTCCCTCCAGAGAGAGAGAGATTGCAACCTACGAGAATGCGCAGTAGGAAGGCAGCCACGAGAGGGCCCTGTGGAGGCACGCGAGCTCCCCTCCCAGACTTCACCGACCCAAGCGAAGCGCCGAGGACCACCCTGGAGAGGGGCCCTTGCACGCAACTCCCTACACATCACCTCGCGGGCCATTGAGACGACCATGAGGCCCCCGGAGGGAGGGGGCTCCTTGTCACGCCACTGCGAGCTCACTCACGAATTCACCCACCCATGCCTGAGCCGCCGCGGGGGATCGGAAGGAGACCCGAGATTGAGCATGCGGGGAGCCGAAGATGAGCCGGCGGGCCATTGTGAGACCACAATTTTGTGTTTTGTGCCGAACGAGCAGCACGCGCTAGGCCGTGACGGGAAGTAGACGAATGGAGCGGACAGACGACCCGGGGGAGAGGCAGTGAAGGCAGAGACGAGCATTGCACGCCACTCCCCTCCATTCACCTCCCAGATGACGACGACGAGGGAGGCGAACCCCGGGAAGGAGACCGACGCGTGTGCAGAGCAGGGCGGGCCACGCGCACGCGTGCCATTTCACCATCGCGCGGGGGAGGGGAGGGGGGAGAGGCGAACGTGTCGTGAGAGGCTCCCGCGTCTTGCCCACTGAATATAGAAGACGCAGCTCCTTGCATAAGGAGGACGGCGAACACTCATCGAATCACGCTACCTCATCCTGCAGTGCTGGACCCCTCCAACGTATGTCGAGTCTTGCCGCAAGCCGCTTGAGCACGCCGAAGGAGACCCGCACCAAGATGTGAGACACCGCTTCCCCATGCCTTGAGCCCCCGGGAGCCCTTGCAGCGCGACGACTCCGACCTCCTTCAGCGACCTCCCATGCCTGGAGCCGCCACCCGGGGGGCCCGTGGCGATCGACCAGCAGAGAGAAGAGTGATCGCTCCCCTCCAATTAGTCAAGGACCGATACCGAGAGAGAGGGAGAGGCCGAGATCCGTAGTGAAGCATCCGCCGGGAGATAGTGCACGCAGATGCACGACGGCGAGAGACTCGGACCCCGAGGATCACAGTACGACAGCGTCCCAGGGCAGTCGCTCGCGCGAGAATGGCGAGAGCGGACCGTATGTGGCACGGAGAGGCACCGAGCTATCCACCGTCGGGCGGAGGATGATAGCAGAACCGCCATCCTCCGCTCTCAAGATCCCTGAGCACGATGCACCTGCCCATCCTGACCGCGCCGAGGAGCCCTTGAGCACCGCCCACTCCCCGTCCATTCACCTCCATCCTGGAGCCCCGGGGGGCCGTGCTACGCCACTCCCCTCCATTCACCTCCCATCCTGAGCCCCCGGATGGCCCTCTGACACGCCGAGCGAGCGTACCCCTCGAGCAGAGAAGTTCACCGCACCCCATCCTGAGCCCCCGGGAGGCCCTTGCACGCCGAGGAGTCGCACTCTCGCACTATTCAGAGACAGAGAAGAGAGAGACAGAGACAGAGAGATGTGCAGGAGGACAAGCAGACAGAGAGAGAGAGAG